GAACTTGATGTGTGCCATCCCAAGTGGCAACATATAAGGATGCTCGACTAGGAGGTAAAGCATATATCGTGACAAATAATTGCCTATTTCATTAGGCTCGCCACCTTCGTAGTACATGATTTCTGTAGCAAGGTGCCAAGTAAGAATACTCTGGTCGAACTCCAATTCGACACTCCACGCAAGATCATGATCATTATGACTTTCTATTGTGCGGCCTCCCTTCTGCCCGAATAAAGCTTTAAGATCTATGTCGTAGCCATACCTTTCCGTCCATTGCCTAACACTATCATGGATCTCTTTGATGACTCTGCTTCTCAAATCAACTTTGCTGAGTGATATAGGAGCACTCTTGTATTGGATAGTATCGAGAAATTCTTCAATGCCTAACATTTTTTGGAAGCTAAGGCAGGCGAGTTGGTTCCCTACAAATCAATTTTTACAATTTTTTATTATACATTTTTTCATAAAAAGTCAAAAAGTTAACCTAAATATCCATATTTTCTTCCTCAATTTTTTAGTCTAAAAAGACAAAAAGTGCACTTATTTAAGACACCCCAAACAACCCCTAAATATGATTTTATTTTTTACTTCATTTTCTTATACAAAGATATATGTGAATGAGTCGTATATATATTTATAAATATAGATTTCATTACTTTGTATATAGAAGTAAGAAAAAATGGTAAAAAACAAAATTATACATAACATTGCTTATTATAATTATTATTTGTTGTCATTATTTCATTTGGTATTTGGTTTCTTGCTATTTTCTTGATGGGTCCACTTTCTCTTCGGTCCGGGAGAGATGACTGGATCGGGACAATCGCATAACTTATTTGGATCATTCAATTAGATCATTTTTATAATTTTATAGGTAGATCATTTATGAAAAAAATCAATATAATATGCTAATTATAACTATATGTTTTTTTAAAAATAGATAAGTATATTTTGAAATAAATTGTTGATTTTTTTTTTGAAAGCAAATTTAATAAAATCTTGTAGCTACAATTAACAAATCAAACTGTTTTTTTTAATTTTTATTTTTTATGAATAATCTACTCACAGCACTACAAAAAAAATTGTTTTTTGCGACGGCAAAACGCCGTCGCAAATACCCAATTGCCGTCTCAAAAGGTTTTTGCGACGGTAAAATGACTTTTTGCGACGGCAAGTGCGGGTTGCAACAAAAGGGGTTGCAAAAGGGTTTTAGCGACGGCAAGTGCCGTTGCCTTTGCTTTTGGGACGGGAAAATTCTTTTTTTGCGACGGCAAATTTCTGTCGCCAATAATAGATGAAAATCTGATTTTTTTTGCGACAGCACCGTATTGCCGTCGTTAAAAGGGTTTTTGCGACGGCAAAAATACCGTCGCTAAAAGTGTATTTGAGGCAGCAACCTAAACCATTTCTAATGACTATTGTCGACGGCTAAGATACTGTCGCTAAAGGCCTTATTTTTCAATAATATTCCCTATCTTTTGCGACAGTAGAGGTGCCGTCGCAAAAAGCCTATTTCAAATTTCTTTTTGAGACAGGATGTTCTGCCGTCTAAAAAAAAATTAAAAAACAAAAAAAAAAACCTGTAATAAAATTATTAAAAATATAAAAATGACTTATATTAAATGAAAAATAACTATAAAAAAAAAACCAATAATTATATAACAATTAAAAAGTCCAATATATAAATAAAAATTCATCTATAATTAAAAAACAAGTTATATTCTAACATTAACAATTCCATCTTCTAGTTAAATGTAAAATACCACTGAAACACTACAACATAAAAACAAAGCCAAGGGCAAAAAAAAAAAAAAAAAAGAGGAAGAAAAAAAGATGTACATAAGATGGTCACTAGCTACATTAATACTAGAATTGCTTTAATTACATATCATATAAGATTAACCCAATCCATGCCATGATTGTAATTGTTTTCTGGCACATAAAAAATATTTCCAAACCCTTCCATCCCAAACTCCCCTAGAAAAGGTGGATCCATGGCTTCCATGGAGAACAATGAAGCCGGGCTGTTGCTTGAAACACCATCACATCTCTCCAGTAGCCTCTGTATCTCCTTCTCTGCCTCGGAAAGCTGTTCCTTGAGCTTCATTACCAGTAAATTAACCAATAATTTGTTATAAGATTGTGATGGTTACTTGATTTGGTTTAATTCCAAACCTTAGGAGTGGGGAATTATAATAAAAAACCATGAAGTGGTTGGTGGGTGTGAAAATGTAGAGTAATGCTAGACATTTTTTTAATTGTAGAAAATAAAATATGTAGACCAAAGATTCATTAATCTACATCTTACATTTTATTTTTGTGGACACTTTTTCTAGGTTTGTGGTTTATCCGGAAAGAGTTTTACTACGAATCTAGAAACCAAATACATGAATGAAC